TGGGCACGGAGACGGCGCGTGCCGGGGCCCCACGGTGCCAGCCCCTGTCTCCTTTGCTCCCGGGGCGTCTCAGGCCATGGGGGACGCAGACCCGCTGGCTCACCGAGCTGTTCCCCGCCTGCTGCCACAGACCTCCGAGGCTCGGCTCTGTGACAGAGCGGTGAGTGGTCCTGCAAGAGCAGCAGCAGAGGAGGTGGGGGCTTTGCCCCAGTAGATGCTGTCGTCTCCGGGTGTTTGTTCAGTGTTTGTGAGAGGAGGTTTGATGCAGAAGAAAAGGCACTTGATGGAAAATGACCAGTGAGTGTGGAATTAAGGCAAGCTTGGGACATTTTGGGCTCTCAGTTTTGTCTGGTGAAAGCAAAGCAAATAGCTGTGCAGTTTGCTCTTGTAATTGCCACCCCCTCCCCGGACTCCCAGCCTGAAGGCGTGTGCTGCTGGAGATGACGCCTGAACTGGGAGGGGAAAGCAAGAACCTGACATTGCCAAGCCAAGCCTCTGCTAACCCACAGGAGCAGTCGCGTGCTTCAGGCAATGTCATTTTTTCTTCTCTCCCAGTTATAACTCACTCAGTTCTTGTATCATCAAGTAATCCTGCAAACAGCCCAGACATCCCCAGCTTCATTAGCAGCTCCTCATTCCACAGGCTTCCAGTCAGGTACTGGTTTTGGTATGTTGTAGATGTCACTGAGAGATAAGTTTGTCCTCCAGTGAAGCTTGATCAATTCGTGGAACAGCTCAGTTCTTCAAGCACATCTTGCGGTGCCCCGAGCCATGGGAAAGTGGAAGGCACACAGGGCACGGCGAGCAAACAAGCTTTGATACACAGCTCTCTGGAGAACGTGCACTCAGATAAATTGTTGGCGTAGCTCGAACTCTAGCCACACCCACAACACACAGAGCTTGAGATCTAGTGGAGACAAAGTTCCTTTATGGAAAAGAAAAACAAAGGCAAATCTGCCTTTTATCTGTCCAGGATGTGACTGAGGATGTGGTTAAGTGGATGTGGAATTAAACAGACTGTTGGAGATGGAAAGTGCTAACAGATAACCGTTGATGGTACCAGGTGGAGTTTGCTTTAAAAAAGAAAAAAAGTCTTGTTTTCACAGTGGTAAAGAGTGGAAGAACTTCTGGTGTGGGCACTGGTGTTGGTAGCTGAGCACACTGCACATGGAGCAGCGGTGCTGGACTCAGAGTCTCCACACCGTGGGAGAAGCAGCATCTCCTGGGACTGCTGGCAGGACTGCCAGAGGAACCTGCAAAACCTCTCGTCTGGGGAAGCAGGCTGGAGCCTGGCTGCCAGCCCCTCTGTTAGCTGCCACCTTCGCTTATGGTCTCCCGTCTGTGGGCTGGGAGCCCTGCACATCGCAGAGTCACACTGCTCACAGAGCTTCACGGAGGAGCAGCTCGGGTCTCACCAGGGCGTCCGCGGAGTTACGGCACAGCCCCATTTCCCAGCCTGGCCTCGCGCTCGAGCTGGCCGGCCTGGCTGCCCCAGCCCCAATGGGGGGGAGGGTGATGAAGTCGTGCTCCAAGGAGGCGAAAGGCAGTGCTCTGGTAGGGTTTTTTAGGTTTTCTTTTCTTAGACCAAGAAGGAGAAAAGCTGTGTGTTTTGTCTGACTTGCGGAAAAGGTGAGACTCCCCACGCCCCGACTGTGCAGTGGGTCTGTTTGACTCAGCGCTGGGCCCCGGGGGTTAGCACCACCGAAGACGTGCGCGCCGATATCGCCAAGCCATCTAGAACTCATACAGTTCTGTCTTGCATATTCATATACACCTATACATATGCATAACCTTTCCCGCTTCGTATTAAAATTAGTTCCAAGAAGTCATTTCCATAGACTCCTCCCGACCGCGCCTGTGCAGTGCCTCCTTGGGGTGGTCACCGGGGGTCGTGGGGATGAAGATAGGTGACTCCTCTTCGTCACCGCTAGTAACCTTTGAACTTCACGCGGGCTCAGTTACTGCTTGGCCTTTACCCAAACTACAGGACTGGCTATGGCTGGCTTGATGTGCAGACTTCTCGTTCTGTAACTCTTCTTTCCAGCCTTATCACTCAGATACAAAACTCGCGGAGCTCAGGAATTTGCCAAGCTCAGGAATTTGCCGAGCTGAGCTAGACTAGCGTCGCCTAAGTCTTCATAAGCATTCTCTAGGCTTATTTATTTCTTTATTTCTCTTCATCAGTATAGCAAGCCTGCTTTGACTAGTGTGCTTGCCAGAGAGCTGGATGTGGCCCCAGCACAGCCTGCCGCGAACACAGACTACTCCAGGCACGTTCTCCACAGCCACCAGCCCGGATGGTTAAAAGTGAAGAAAGCTGTCTTGTTCTGGTTGCAGGAATCTTCCTATCCCTTGTGGCTCTTGGTTTCAGGGTAACACTGCGTGGAGGAGGTTGGAGGAAGGCATTGGCTGCCTCCAGAATTCCCCTTTGGGACCCTGTTAACAAAGAGAGCCTGGCAGTCGCACCTAAGCAGCATCTTCCCAGCAGCACGCCTGAAGGTGCGTAGGGCCTGAAAGAGGAAGGCCGAAGGGAAGCCATGGCTGTGGACAGCTCGTATCCTCGCTTCAGGACTGGTGCTTGTTCCTGTAAGAGCATCCATTGGAGATCTTGTGGGCGCAGAGCTGCTGCTTGCCTGCTGCACCTCCAGCCCTGCAGCCCACCTTGCCAGCATTGCCTGGAGCCAGTGAGGGCTGCCAGGAGTGTGGCAACACCTCGGCTGGTCCCTTGCTCAGCGCCTGTAACTGTTTAACTGATCGCCTTTGGACCTAGGCTCGGTCTGAGCAGAGATCATGACAGATACAATCCAAAGGCCTTAAAAAAGAGGCTGGAAGGGTTTCTTCAAGGACTTTTCAAACCTGTGTCACTGTTTCATTCTTCTCTCCTAGGTCCACTGAGAACTCATGTCTTGCACTTAAATCCAGAGGGAGAACTTGTCAGGAAGTATGGATAAGAAAGAAATGCATCTGCTGCTGAGCCGTGTACGGGGAATCCTTGCAGCTTTTTGCAGCGGTGCGTGGAGGGGGGTGCAAGGTAGGTACGAAACCTACGGACTGGCTTTGCTGTAACGCAGAGCAAACCACTTCAGTCCTCTGTGTGTTCAGTGACAGGGTGAGTGCTGGCTTCTGAGATCTGTAATGTTGTCAACAAAGGCTTTTTAATAGCTGAGCGTAATTTTTTATAGAAGCTGTGCAAAAGCAGCCTATTTTTTAAGAAGCAATATGGTCATTACCCTTGAACTGTCAGGATTAATATTTAACAGCTCCCCATGAGTTAAAATAGCCGTCTGCTGTAACATGTAAACTATATCTCTGGTAGAGGTAAGCATTTCTCTGGCTGCGGTGCTAATCTGCTGGTGGGGAGATGTATTCTGGACTGCCAAGGGTCGATCTCCAGGCAGACCGCGGATTTTCATGGAGAGGAGAAGATATGTATTGTGCAACTTGGGATGGGGAGAGAGACTGTCAGGTGCTACCTATTGATGAGAAGCAACGTATGCCAGGTCTGAAGATGCTCATGGCTCAAATCCAGTGTAGTGCAGACCCCAAGGGTGGTGGCAGGGTTTCATCCCTTGGAGCGTTTTGTGTGCAGACGGCACGACTGGAGCTTTATTTGAACTGACACTGTTGGTGAGCACAGCCTGGTTGTACCATCCAGAACCCAAACGGCCAAGGCCCCACTAAGGTCAGTAGTGCGGAAGGCAATTGTCTGTCCGTCCGAGATGGCGTGATGCAGAGATACGAGAAAATTGAAATATATTTTGGTGTTGATGCAGAGATACAAGAAAATTGACATATATTTTGGTGTTATGTGGAATAAAAATTCAGATATATTGGATGTTCCCTTGAAACCAACTGAATTTCCAGGTGCTGTACTGTGGGGGTTGCCGGGGTGATCCAGTTCTTACAAATTCTGCAGCTGGCCACAGACTCAGACCCACCCGTGTGCTGTTTGAGTCGTTCACTGGCACACCCGTCCTTTCCTGGCCGCTCAGTGATCCCTGTGCAGTGGTGGGACAGGAGCTCAGAAGCTGTCGGACCAGTCCCAGGGCTGGTGCTGGAGGAAGCTTGACGGGGAGCTCACAAAGAAGAGCGGCTGCAGAGTGCTGCTGCCTGCACGCAGCTCAGCGTCTGAAGCGGCACGCTGGCGATCCAGCCTGGGAACCCGCGCTGTGGGCGGCCTGCGTAACGAGTTTGTCAGCAGCAGGGAGGCTGGACGGCGATGTTGTTGGCGCCTTTCAGACCAGTGAAATACTGGACTGGAGTTTTTCCAGATGCCCTAAAGCCAGGTCAGGTTTGTTAGAGGGGGAGAGGGCTGAAGCTAAACCCTCTCCGCTGATGCTTTACCCGAGCACTAGTCTACCTTTAAACACAACCTTATCTGTTCTCTGGTGGATTTGCAACAAGTCTTATTTTGGCTTGTTTCAAAGCAATCACAAGGTAAAAGGGATGTGCACCTAGCCACCAGCTTTTAGGGGCAGGGATTGCTTCTGGGCTGGAGCTACAAGCTAGTCCTGCATGAAGAAGAAAAGGAAGATCTGTTTATGGTTGTGCCCAGAATCTTGCCCGAGCCCTTGGGCAGGTGGTGGTCTGAAAGCTAATTTATTTGAATGTAGCTATGGCTACTTCCATAATCACACAGCTGTTCCCAGCGATGCTTCCACCAGATTAGAGGTGAAGGGTTTCCTTCTTACGCCGGACTGACTAATTAAGGAAAATCCAGGAAACGTCTCTTGTTTACATTAAAGGTGTTTCTTTCCCCACGCTGTGTTGCAGTAAGCTTAGGGTGATGACGGGAACAGTGCAGAGCTGTTGCCATGTCTGAGAAATTGGATCCGTGTGCGGAGTGTCTGGGAATGTCGGCAGAGAGGGTGTGCACGTTCTTGTAGGGAAGTCCAGCGAGAAGACCGGCCCACTCGTTCAGCACACCTTTGGGAAGCACTGCCCGGCGAGCACCTCTGGGCAGCAGCAGCAGAGCCTCCGTCGCGCTCAGGCACCTCACCATGTGGTTTTTCAGGAGAAGGCTTCCTAAAATTCCCAGAGCCTTCATTTGGCTCATTGTTTTAACACACGTTTGCCTCTTCATTGCTAGTTTCAGCTCTTGGTTTGGCTTGTTGAAGACCACGATTTCCAGGTAAGAGACCTGCTTCCTTGTGATATGCAGTCTCTAGGTAGAGTGCTTGCGCTTTCTCTCTCTCTCTCGCTGTGTCTGTTTACCCTGAAACTTGCACTTCTGATATGAGTTAGGTGAACACTTCGCTTTAGCAGACCTCGTGGACAATCAGACCACGGTGTTGGAAGATCCGCAGTCAAAAACTTGCTTCGTCTGGATCACTGTTTTCCAGTCCTTCCTCGTGTTTAAGAAAGCAGCTTTGGCTTTACTAATGCTCCCTGTTTTCATACTTTGGCACTACATAGCATTTGCTTTTCCTGGTGGCTCCCAGAGGGACCTCATTCAGCCCTGGTCCAGATTGTGTTGCTGGACATTGAATTTGGTGGGATATCTTCGAATTTCTAGTGAGTTCAGCATCTGATTCCTAATACAAATATGCTGCATACCGGGAGACCAACGTCATGCAGACAAGATCTATATATGTATATATTATTTTTTATGTGAAAGGTCAAGTAAATGCTACAAGAATGTGTGTGGAGGGAATTGCAGTGTAGATGCAGTAATGTCTCCAGCATTGCTGGCAGAGGTGCTGTTCCTTGTGTGAGCACCGCAGATTCCTGAGCATTGCCCCAAGCGTGGCTCGCTCGCGTGTTGGTGCCCTGTGCTGTGTGTAGGAACCCCTGCTCCCCAGCCTCCCCCGCAGCCCGCATGTGGTCCCAGCTCTCCCAGTGAGCTCGTCTGGCTCGTCTCAGTGGCGCTGGTTTTCAGCTGGAGCTCTCAGGGCTTATGCTGCCGGGGCAGGCAGGAGGAGGGGGGCTGGGAACACCTCCATCTCTTCGGGGGATGGTGTGAGTTTAGCGCAGCTCCGGCGACTGGAGCCCGCACCTTGAGGACAGCTATCAGTGTGGAGAGGTCAGAGTCTGCACAAGGCAGGAGGGGGGAGGAGAGAAGGAGGAGGTGTAGAGAAGCGAAGTGAGATGTCCTTGATCACAGAGCCCATCAGCGGCAGATCTGGGGCAAGAACTGGCTCTCCATGCCCAGCTGCTTGAAGCCGTCTCATTCACCCGCAGTTTCAGATGATGGAAATGTCCATATTTTTGCAACTGCAGTAAAACACAACCAGGCGTGAGCTGTGTGGTTACCTGTCTGTCACTTCTGTTTCCATACCTTTATATGCAACGTAGAATACACAAAGCAGCATTTTCATGGCTTTATTCCCTATTTGTCCAAGGGCTTTGTAAATGGAGAGGAAAATGACAGTAAATGTCATTGAGCCCCTGCAGTTGTTTGCCAGCTGGACTCTAGAGCCTGAAATCTGAGGAGCTGCCTTGACCACTCGTCTGGATTTGAAACGCTGGTCAGGAGAGCAGGGTCCTGTGTAGGCACAAGTGCCTGGCCATGTGGGTCTGCCTGCAGGGAGCAAGGGTTGGGATGTGAAGGGCCCTCAGTTTTACATCTTGGTCGCTGTATGTTTGGCACCTTGTTCGAAATTAAAGTGTAATGGAGCTGGGGTGGAATCTGTGCCCTGGGTGACAGCACAGACAGGGAGTCTGGGGTGGGGAGCAGTCCATCCTACTGTCCCCTTTTATTTGTTCTCTGCCCTATATTTTTGAAGTTTTAAACATCATCTTAAAAATACAACAGAGAATCATCCAGGGACTTAAGATCTGCCTGAGGTTCTTTACCAAACTTCTCATTACTTAAAGCATATGTATAAAAATCTTCCCTCTGGTTAGGCAGTGAACAGTGACACCAGTTTATACCTGAAGCACTGTGGTAGCGAGCAACTGCTGCCTGCTCGGTTGACCCTGGCTGATAACTGTGAGGGGAAGCGGAGGAAGAGTGACAGGCCCTTGACGTGAGCGTGAAATCAGACTGCCAGAACTATGCCGGTTTATCCTCAAAAGCTTTGCTGTGTCTAAAAACTTAGCTGCAGAAATGTTTCACCTTCCTTTTTCCTGTTCCACCCTCCATCGTTACCTTCTCTTGCACCGTATCATGTGCACAGGAGAGTGAATGTTTGGGACCAAACCCCACCACTGCTGCCTTGATTTTTTTGCTGGGTTCAGCCCAGTCTTGTCGCAGGTGGCTCTTCTGCAGCTGGCAGCTGTATCTTCCTATGGCACCCTCGTACCTGCCTGTGTCTCTCAATCAGGCAACAGGGCAGCTGCAATATTAGAGCCAATTGCTGAAAATGCAGAGATTTTACATTTTTAGGCTTCAGACTGTGTTTTAATAGCTTCAGAGTGCTTGTCTTAAGAGACGTATACCTGGCAAGTGCTGTGTGATGCCATTGCATTGACTGGCTAAGGGGGAGGAGGAGAGGAAGAAGTGCCCTGTGGCCCCAAGCGCTCAGGAAGGGATGTATGGGAAGGAGAGAGTTCCACTGCTTGTTAGACTTCCCTTATTGAGTTCTGGCAGATCTTCATGCTTTGTCGCTGAAGCACTTGGCTCCACTGGCACAGAAAGTAGAGAGCCAGATGGCACGTGCCGTGTCCTGAATGCAGGAGCTCCGGAACAGTCCCGCAGTGCTCCGGGGACGCTGCCAGGGTCCTGCCCAGTGCAGGGCAGAGCTGTTCTCTGCTGGTTTCCAGTTACTGCCAGTGTGGAGGTTGCACCAGCCAAGTCCTGAAGAGGGGTGTGCAGCCTCTGGGATTTTCTTGGTGGAGAGAGAAACAGTATTCAGGCCAGAATGGTGTGGGAACTTGAATAATGCTTTGGTGGCAAAGTTGAAAATGAAGTTGAATTCATACAGCATCCTGCAGAAACTCAGTGGCAGTCGCCAAGGCAAGTCCCCTGAGCATGTGGTTGTGTGCAGCGGTTGCTCTGAAGAGGGGCTCAGAGCTGAGAGCGCTAGACGTGGGCTGGAGGGTGTTTGGTGTTCATCGTTAAGTGGAAAATGTGTGTGATGTGTCTGCTTTTCCTTTGATTGCATTCAGGCAACTGGGCATTTCCCAGCACGTCCCACATATGTTACAAGTGGACACCCAAAAGCAACAGGCTTTCAACTATACTGATAATGGGAAGACAAGAAGCTTTTCAATGGTGTCTTCAGGGAGAAACATCTCAAGGCTCGAACAAGATATGGTTGAGAGGACACCAAAACTGGAGGGAAAGGAGGAGCAGAAGAAAATGGCAACACCAGTTGCCAGGGTGGAGGAAGCCAAGGAGAACGTGGCTGTGAAACCACCCCTGGGGCTGAAGGGAATCAAGAAGACAACAGTGAAAACAGACCCTAGGGTGCAGGGAAACAAGCAGAAAACAACAGTGAGACCAGCCGCGGGGGTGGAAGAAGCCAAGGAAAAGACAATAGTGAAACCACTTCCCAGAGTGGAAGGAGCCAAGGAGGTGACAGCGAAACCATCCTCTGGATTGAAGGGAACTCATGAAAACAACGTATCCAAAGATCAAACAAAGCCAAAAGAGCCTCCTGCGTCAGGGAAGACTCTAAGACCTGTTCCTCAGGCTGCTGCAGTGACAGAAAAGAAGAGACTGAGGGCTGCTGACTTCAAGTCTGAGCCGCGATGGGATTTTGAGGACAAGTATCTGCTGCTCCACCATCGGTAGGTGTGATGGCCATGTGTGTTCGCCAAGAATTATGCCCCTTTGTTGACCTCCTTGTCTGCTGTCCCTTTGGCATGCATGCACTTTGCAGTCAAGGATGATCTCCAAGCTGGTAGGTCAACTTGCTGGTATATGCAGATGCTGCTGGGACCTGGAGCGGGGGAGCTATAGGTACAACTCAGCCTGGCCAGTCCTTCAGTCTGTGCTGCATGGCAACTTGCTGCAATTGCACATGCTTCCGTGGGTCCCTTTGAAAGGCAGCCCGAGCAGCCCTTTCTGGAGCTCAGGTGTGTCAGAAGGTGGGGGGAAATATTTCTCCTTCTAGGTGTGGCCAGCAGGTCGAGGGAGGTTCTCCTCCCCCTCTGCTCTGCCCTAGTGAGGCCGCATCTGCAGTGCTGTGTCCAGTTCTGGGCTCCCCACTTCAAGAAAGATGAGGAGCTACTGGAGAGAGTCCAGCGCAGGGCTACGAGGATGAGGAGGGGACTGGAGCATCTCTCCTACGAGGAGAGGCTGAGGGAGCT